AGGGCCGGGTCTCTGGATCCTCCCGATTCCCATCCTCCGGATGCTCCAAGACAGTTCCGAGGATGCTCTGTGCTGGAAATGCAGTTGGACTAAAGAAATACCATGTTCAATGCCTTCTTTTCTTTTTTCTTTTTTTTTCTTTTTTTTTTTGGTGTGAGAGCGGTGAGAGCCTGGCCCAGGTTGCCCAGAGAAGCTGTGGCTGCCCCATCCCTGGAGGGGTTCAAGGCCAGGTTGGATGGGGCTTGGAGCAACCTGGTCTGGTGGGAGGTGTCCCTGCCCAGGGCAGGGGGTGGCACTGGATCTCCCGCTTTGAGTGAAAATAGCTGCTCCAGAATATGTCTAATGGCAAACTGTGATTTCAGGGATGGTGGAAACCTTGGGAGCACCCCGGGGTCAGCGGCTGCCGGGGTGGGGGGGTCCCAGGGTCGTGCCAGTGGCAGCCTCAGCTTTGTGCTGTCACCGGGCACTGGCACCGGGCAGCGCTGCAGAGAGGGGGGGTCCTGCCCCCGGGGCACCGACACCCCTGGCACCGAGACCTGGCGGGGATCCGTTGCCCCGGGGCGGCTGCGGGAGCCGGGCGAGCGGCCGGTAACTCCGATGGTCCCCGGTGGGGGGGTTTATGGTGAGATGCCCCGCCGGTACCGGGCTCTCCCGGGTGGTTTTGATGCTATTCCTAGCAGGGATGGGGCAGGGTTCAGCATCCAGCCAGAGCAGTCTCAGTCTCAGGGGAGACTTTGCTGACAGAGCCCCATTTCACTGAAACACTTCCTATTGAATCAGGGGCTAAATTCCTGTTCAGAGCTGGGGCAAAAATGAGCTGGTAGGGAAGGATTCTCACAGAATCACAGAATCTTCTAGGTTGGAAGGGACCTTAAAGATCATCTTGTCCAACCGTCAACCTGACTGACAAAAATAGACACCCACACAACAAACAAGGAGCATCATCACTAAACCATATCTCCCAGCACTACATCAACCCGGCTTTTGAACACCTCCAGGGATGGGGCCTCAACCACCTCCCTGGGCAGCCCATTCCAAGTGCTGAGAACCCTTTCAGTGAAAAAATTGTTCCTAATATCCAGCCTGAACCTCCCCTGGCGCAACTTGAGGCCATTTCCTCTCGTCCTGTCGCCTGTTGGTCTCTATAAACCCCACGTTGCCTGTGTGTGTCTGGGGAATGGACTAGGACCAGCCCCACGCGTGTCCTGCTCTGTACCTGCTGGAACTGACTGCTGGGCACCCTGGGGATGCCTGGCACGGGGCATGCAGAGCCTGGCAGCGTTGGGTTATGAGCTCTGTGGGTTCAGCGAGACCAGCTTCTCAACCGAGCTGGCTGCCTCTCTCTGTAAAATGGGCACAGCGGTGCTGACGTGCACGGGCAAGTCCCAAGGTCTCCAGCAGGATCACCGGGAAAGTTGCTGCGCGCTGTTATTATTAATGTTATTTTAAATAATATTTGCAGTGCTGGCTCAGGCACACCCCCCCCCCCTTTTTGGAGCCTCCCCCTTGTTTGCTGCCGGGCTGTTTGTGCTGCCTGCTGCCGGCCTGACCCCCACCCCCAGCAGGGTTTCAAGCCAAACATTTTCTTCCTGTTTTCCCGAGTGGAGCGTGCGTCTCCTGTTTCATCTGGTTGGGTGATGCGGGGAAGGCAGCCCCAGCGGGTCTCTATGGCAACAGATGTTTATCGAGCCCCTGAGATGAGGCACAGGGTTGGGGAGAGGCACTTCAGCATCTGGGATGGGGTCCAGGGCAGCTGCCACCCCCCTGGAAGGGCAGGGATCGGGGTTGTGGGACAGAGGGGGTGTCCTGCTCCCTGTCCCCTCAGCCCCGGCACGGCTGAGGGATCCTGGGCTCTTTCCTGCAGAAAGAAATTTGGCTTTTCATGAAGGCCTTTTGCATGCAGGGTGCACCAGCCCCGCTGTGGAGGGGGTACCAAGCGGTGGCAGAGGCTCTGTGTGGCCCTGGGCTCAGGAACCCACGGGGCTGGGGGTTTGCTTTGAGCTGGGGGGGGTCCTGGCCGTGTCACAGCCACCTCCTCTGTCTCTCCAGAACGCAGCAAGGATTAATGCCACCTCCCAGAGCTCCCAGGGCTGCAGATGGGCTCAGCCTCATGCGCGCTGCTGTGGAGCTCGGGGGTGTGTAGGTGGTATTTCCCATTTTTGTAACAGAAAATTTTGGTCAAACACGAAAAACGCTGCTCAGGGCACCCAGGGCTCTCGGGGCAGGGGCTGGAAATACCGACTGCCTTTGGGATCCCTGTGGGGCTCCTGGGTGACTGCCTTTGCTCTCCCAGCAGCAGCCACAGCCAGCCCAGCCCTGTGGCCAGCAGAAACGAGCTGGGCCTGGCCGTCTCCTCGGTGTCAAGGCTGTCCCCTCTGTGCCAGAGCCCAGCGCCACGTACAGGAGGCTCCCGGCGCACTCAGAACCTCGATAGTCCTTTAATGGCTTTAGAAACACTCAACAGGTATTAACTCCAAACCGAGTTGGAGTTGCTCTGCCTCGGGCAGCCGGGGAAGTTGGGGTCACCTTGTGAAGGTCAGACTGTACATCAGTGCCATCTTGCACAGCAGTGCATCCCTGTCTGCACCCCAAAGTTTGGGAGAGGTGTCTTTCCCCCCCGGGACTCATTCTGGAGGAAGGTGGATCAGTAATTTGAGGAGGTTTTAGGAAACTCGGTGCGATTCTCTGAGGCTGGGGCTGGTTGTCTTCAGGAGCCACGTCCTTCCTCATCTCTCCACACGTTTCTGGTAGAGCTGCCTGGAACTCGGAGGCTGCCAAGACAGGAAAGCACGGCGCTGCTGTGACTTATTTGGTGTGTACACAGCCTGTGGATGTCGGCTGGGGGGGGGTGCGGTGCTGGAAATGCCAGGAAATTAGATTGAGAATGACTTGTCCTGATGGCTCTCCAGGCGTATCCGCACGGTGGAGGCAAGCAACACACTTACATCCTCCTTTCTCCTGCAGCCACCCACAGAGCCACGAGCAATGAAGTGTTCACCCCACGGTGATGCCCTCAGAACTGCCCCATGGCAGCACACGGAGCCCGGGGAGCAGAGGGAGGATTGGGCAGTGGCAGGAGACAGGAGACATGGGCAGCCTTTCTTTCCAGCCCAGCAAGTGCCCTGGGGGTAGTGCCAGCGCTGACCCCGGCAGTAAAAATGCAGAGTCCCTCTGCTTGGGGTGCAAAGGGTCTGTCTGCTGTGCCCTGCGGGGAGGGGACGGTGGGCAACGCACAGCATGAACTTTCACAGATGGATGAAGCCCAGAGAGGCCAAGAACAAAGTGGGCACAGTCCTGCCTGGACAAAGAGCACTTCCCAGGGGGTTTCTGGATGTCCCGAGAGCCAGTTACCTCTGGTGAGGGGGGGGTTTAGTGTATTCCTCCCCAGTAGCCCAGAAGGAGAGCGATTCCCAGCATCACCGGCAGCTTCTTGGCAGGAGGCAGAGGAGCACTGGACCCTGCAGTGAGGAGAAGCTCGGCATTAGGTTGGTGCTGGCCCCTGCCCAGGTGAGCAGCAGCCCTGTTTGTCCCCCCCCCACCCCAAGCTGTGACAAAGAGGAAGCTTGTGTGTCACCCCCCTCTGCTCCCCCGGGGGTGACACCTTGGTGGCCCTCAGCACCCCGTGTCCTTCCCGCTGCCGGCTTTGCTTTGGTGTGGGGGACATTTCGCCACCTCCGGAGGGGTCCGTCCCTTCCCGCTGCCGGCTCCGGGGGTCCCCGGGCGGTGGGAGGGAGCGGCCGCCAGGTGTCGCTGTTCCCGCGGGAATCCCGCCGCCTCCGACCGGGAGAGACGGGGGTTTGATGGAGGGACCCGCGAGGGGACGGGGGGTGATGGTTTGACTCTGAAAGGGGGGAGATTGAGGTGAGATGTGGGGAAGAACCGGTTGGACACGGAAAGAGGGGAGATTGAGGTGAGATCTGGGGAAGAACCTCTTTGGTGTGAGGGTGGTGAGAGCCTGGCCCAGGTTGCCCAGAGAAGCTGTGGCTGTCCCATCCCTGGGGGGGTTCAAGACCAGGTTGGAGGGGGCTTGGAGCAACCTGGGCTGGTGGGAGGTGTCCCTGCCCAGGGCAGGGGGTGGCACTGGATGGTCTTTAAGGTCCCTTCCAACCCAAGCCATTCTATGCTTCAATGACCTCACCTTGAGTACTGTGTCGAGTTTTGGGCCCCCTACCATAAAAAAGACATTGAGGTGCTGGAGCGGGTCCAGAGAAGGGCAACAAAGATGGTGAGGGGTCTGGAGAATAAGTCTGATGAGGAGAGGCTGAGGGAGCTGGGGTTATTCAGCCTGGAGAAGAGGAGGCTGAGGGGAGACCTTATTGCTCTCTCCAACTCCCTGAAAGGAGGGTGTAGAGAGATGGGGGTCGGTCTCTTTTCTCAAGTCACAGGCGACAGGACGAGAGGAAATGGCCTCAAGTTGCGCCAGGGTAGGGTCAGGCTGGATATTAGGAAAAATTTTTTCACTGAAAGGGTTATCAGACATTGGAATGGGCTGCCCAGGGAGGTGGTTGAGGCCCCATCCCTGGAGGTGTTCAAAAGACGGGTTGATGTTGTGCTGGGAGATATGGTTTAGTGATGGTGTTGCTTTTTGTTTGTTGTGTGGGTGGGTTTTTTTGGTCAAAATTAGGTTAACAGTTGGACTAGATGATCTTTAAGGTCCCTTCCAACCTAGAAGATTCTGTGACTCACGCAACATGGGCTTCATGGTCTCCAGGGAGCCGTCGTGGGGCTCAGGGACGATGCCCAGCAGCTCGCAGAGGAGAGCGTAGACGTTGACGCTTTCGAAGGGTTCAACCACCAACCCCTGCTTGAAGGATGGTCCCACGGCGCGGAAGATGGTTTTCATGTTCATGGCCTCGTTGTCAAAACCATGTTCCCCTTTATTGAACTGGACCTTGATTCTCTGACAGGGTGAGAGAGGACATGAGTGCCCAAACCCTTCAGCCCCCCCAAGCACAGCCCCCCAGGAGGTGTCAGGCACCGAAGCAGCAGCACTGCTGGGTGTCTCCACCTCTCCTCCATGTGGCTCTCGCACACCACGTTCTGCAGCCTGTACAGGGTTTAACAGCCTGGTTGGCTTCTTTGAGTTTTTGCAGTTTATCTAATAATGTTAGAAGCTGAAGGGTGTTGACCAAACACAGCTCTCAAGCAATTATGGCTTGCGAGTTCCCTCCCTAGATGTCAGGGCATCCAGATTTTGTTGTACTGAGGAGCTACAGTACAACAAATGTGCAATGAGGAGCTGCCTGCTGGCCTTGACTTTGGGCCTTCCCTTAGTGCCAGACCAGGAGAGGACCCTGAAACTGGTATTCTCTTAGTGCGAGTCCTGCTCCAAGACTTCTGGACCTTTTTGTGGACAACAGAGAAGGTCTTGACACAAAGAGCTAGAATTTCCATCTGTTTGTAGGGAGATCAGTCAACATGAAGGCATAAAGCTGGGTACGTACTGGGGGGCTGTGAGAGGGGCAGGAGGAGAGAAGCAGATCCCCAAAAGACAGTAAGATATGTCTGCATGTACACCTTACCCCATGGATCACGTATCCTGGGTCTCCATACAACACCAGGGGGGTGATCCGGGAATGGTTGGAGTAGTGGAGCCTCCTCGGTAACTCTTCTTTCTTGTAGACGTGTAATTTTGGGTGGGCGTTTTTCAGGACCGAATACACATGCTCTAATTTTCCCTCTTTTGGCAGCAGTAGTCCAACTGGGCCGTAATCTAAGAGCTCAAACTGGATGTCTTTGAACGAGAAGTTAGGTAGTGCCCCGATGTGGATCTCGTTGGTCTTTAAGACAGTCTCCATGCCGTGGTCAGACGTGATGATGAGGTTGAGTCTGGACTCCAGGCCGCTTTCCCGGATGCGCTGCCTCAGGTAACCCACAGTTCTGTCCACCTGCTCGATGATCCTTTTCCTCTGCGTGGACTCGGGGCCGTACTTGTGTCCTGCCGAGTCGGGCTCCCCGAAGTAGAGAGCGATGAAGTCGAGGTTGTTCACCGTGAACCATTCGATGACGGTGTCGACGTTGCTTCTCCAGATGGTTTCGTCGCTGTAGTTGAACACGGGAGGCTCCACCAACTTCATATTCACTTCTTCCCCGTGATACCTCGCTCTTCCTCCGGGGAAGTAGATAGAGCCTGTCTTTAAACCCTGTTAGTGGAGACATTGCATAAACTCACCTGAACTCGCTCCGCAGCGTCTCTCCATCTGTCAGTGCAGCCTCCTGCTAATGTGGTTAAGTTCATTCAGCCCCCCTAATGTCTACCTCTGCCTCTAATGAGGTTTTTCTTGCTCGTTGCCAATTAAAAGTGATTAATTGAAAGCACTGCCCTTCCCAGAACTCCTGCACGTTGGTTTTCTCACTGTGTTAGTAACAATAGTTATAACTTTGGGAAGAGTGACCCGTTTGTACCTTCCATGGACCCTCTGGCCTTTAACCATCAAGACATTAAGGTGGATTTTACTCCAATCATTTGAGCACTCACCCCAAAGTCAATGGGGCCAGTTTGGCCAGTAAATACAGGCAAAGGCACGTGCCTGGGGCCAGGTCTCAGGTCCCATCTCACAGAATCACAGAATCTTCTAGGTTGGAAGGGACCTTAAAGATCATCTTGTCCAACCGTCAACCTAACTGACAAAAATAGACACCCACACAACAAACAAGGAGCATCTCAAAGCCAGATCCAAAGCCTGCTGGGCTGTAGGAAAGTCCTGCTGCAGTCACCAGGGAAGAGGGGACCAGCCCCTGATGCTGCCACCCAAAATGTCGTGGTGAGGCTGGAGGAACAAGATTTGTGCCCGGGAGCGTATGAAGCCCCTGGGCTTGTGATGCTCCCGAAGGAACTGGCTGAGGTTTCTTTAAACAGGAAAAGGATAACCTCTTCTAATAATGTCTTAATAAAGCTGAAACGCATCCATTATTTTTCGCTACTTTTAATAGAATGATCATAATTATTCCTGCCGGTGTCTGGGGGATTTCATTTGGTTTTTTTTTTTTTTTTTTTTTTATCAGGCTTTTCTGTGAAAGACTTTGCAGCGATGGATTGGCAACACGGGTCAGCCAATTCAGCTATTCAGTGAATCACTTTGTTTAATTCCTTATTCTTTGATTCTGTCAGCTTTGAAAACACACTGTTGGTGCTGCCTTGGTTGAAATTTGTCTGCAAATCCCTTTTTTTTTTTTTTTTTTTGCTGGTCTAATTAGGCTGCCGTGCGCAGGGGGGATGTTAGCTCGTGGCCACTAGAGATCGTGGCTGGCCTGTAGCTTTGACTGCGGGTTGGCAGGAGAGGGGGCTGCCCCTGCAGGGTGCGTGGGGGCGAGGGGGGGTCCGCACTCGCCTGTCTCTGGGCGGTGATCCAGATGGGCAGGCTGCCGTTGTCCCACCAGTCGTCCCTGCCTTGCGTGGTGTAGTAGGGCAGCTTCACCCCCGTGCTGGTGTTGAACCACATGTTGTGGATCACCCCGTGGTTCTCCATGTACCGCCCTGCCAGGAGAGATGGAGGAGGAGGAGGTGGGGGTCAGCCAGGCTGTGGCTGGGAGGGGGGTGTCTCACCCCGACGATGGGCAATGGAGCTTCTGCCCCTTTATCCCGTCCCAGCTCCCCCTTTGCCTCTTCTTTGCCCCCAGCCTGTGTACAAAGTGGGGTTCCCCAGGCAGGGAGTGAGATGCTGGGGGGACTCCTGCTCCTCACCCAGACCCTGACCTGGGGCACCCTCACTCCTGGGGGTGCTGGTGCCACCTGCAATTCCTCCTGCCTTTCACTGATGGCTTTGGTGCTTGGCTTTCTCTGGTGTTGCCAGCCCCTGAGGTCAGCACGTGGAAGAAATCCCCATTAGAAATGAAAGACCTGCACTTTCTACTCTTACATTTCATGCTATTTTTATTATTCTGGTCCTGAAGACCTCACAGTTACTTCTGCACAATATCCCCATCCTCCCTTGTACCGACAATGCCTCCCTGCCTTTTCTCATCAGCAGATTTCATTAGCGTGTTCCACTCTTTTATGGCAAGGTTATTAATTAAAACCTTAAATAAGATTGGCTCCAAAATCGATTCTTCAGGAATTCCCCCGTTGCCCTCCCTCCAGCTCAACAGCCTCCCCTCAGCATCGCCCAGTGTCCTCCTCCCCATCGCCCCTTCCTTCCCCACGTTACGGGTTTTGTACTGATCTTCATCTTCTCCATCTTAACTAATGATTTCCCGTGTGGCACCGTATCAAGTGCATTACTGAAGTCCAGAAAGATTAAATTAGTGCATCTCCCTTGTCTAAAAAAATCATTTATCTTATCAAAGGAGGCTGTTGGGTTGGGCTGCTGCTATTTACCTTTGATAAATACAGGCTCAGTTCTCTCCCTTTCTGCAGCTCTCGCCTTGTCTCTCTCCCTGACTGGGAGAGTCTAGATTAGGAGAATATTGCGTGGAATATTATTTTGTGTTAGTGCCTTTGTAATTCTATTTGTGTGTTTGCAGTGTGGGTTATACTCAGATATGTACACAGATTAGAGGCTATTGATATTTGGCACCTATATACTATAAATAATGCAGGTAAGGTAATAAAGCAAAGGGAGGACACTAGCGAGACACTGATTTGTGCCAGAGCTTAGGTGTATAAGGTAAATAAGGTAAACGAAGCCTTAGGCTGCCTCAACTGTACTTTAATCTTTGTTTTTTGTGACGACAATAGATAGGGAAGCGTAAGTAAACTTTAACTCCAGGCTGTCCTGTAACAAAAGAGAAAGAAGACACAGAGAAAAAGGGTGCCTGGGGGCTGCGAGGGAGCGACCAGGACTGGGTGAGCAGAGGTGCCATCGGGAAATCAGGCCACCTACAGAGACTCTAAGTCCAGAAAGAAGCTGTAACAGCCCAGCTCCGGCTGCAGGTCTCCTGCACCAGGAATAACGGTGTCTAAGGGTTGATCCCATCTGTTATTGAAGCGGAACCTCAGGCTGAGCCCTGCTGAGGTGGCCTCAGCATAATTCCTCCCATGGTGGAGGTGGAGGCTGCATAATTCCTCCTGCCAGGACAAGAGGGAACGGGCACAAACTTGACCACAAGAAGTTCCATCTAAACACGAGGAGGAACTTCTTTCCTGTGAGGGTGGCAGAGCCCTGGCAGAGGCTGCCCAGGGAGGTGGTGGAGTCTCCTTCTCTGGAGACATTCAAACCCCACCTGGACACGTTCCTGTGGGACCTGCTCTGGGTGGCCCTGCTCTGGCAGGGGGTTGGAGGAGATGATCTCCAGAGGTCCCTTCCATCCCCATATCGTTCTGTCATTCTGTCACACCGGGCGTTATTTACCTTTGATAAAGGCAGGCTCACTTCTAGCACTTTCTGCAACTACCACCGTGTCTCTGGCTCTGGTTCCCAAACACAGCTATTCCAAAGCTTTCCCTGCAGCTGGGGTTGGGGTGGGGGGGCTGCTGCTTGACTTAGTTTCCCTGACTGATGCATAACCCCTAAATTTACCCTTCCCCAGCCCACACCTGGGCTCGGGGCCGGCAGGACTCACCGGTCAGCAGCGTGAAGTGGCAGGGGCTGGTGATGGTGATGAAGGCAGGAGTCATGTACCGTGCCTTCACCCCCTCCGCAGCCATAGTGTCCAGGTTGGGGGTGTCCACGTCCTGGTCGTAGTTCCACCGAAAGCCATCGAAGGAGACCAGGAGGAGTTTGTTGCGGTTGGATACGGGCTGCACGGGGACACAGCTCGCTAAAGAGAGGGCAGCCAACACGAGCCCCAGAGAAGTGAACATCTTCACGCCCTTGAACTGGAATAGCCCAGACACCCAGAGAGCTCCCCTTAATACCCTCGGGGTGGGACTAAGTTCAGTTTTTATCTAATCTTGCAGTTGCTGATCTGGTGCATGGCTTCTGCCCACCCTTCGTATCAGAATGACCCTCTCTGTTTGTCCAGTTAAAGTAGATTAGTTTAGATTTCTTTCTGGGTCGAACACCAACCACTGCCTCCTCCACCAGTGGTGGTGGCTGCTATTTTAGCACTCATGAATGGGAAGAACAGCTCATGTGGCAGGACCTGCCTTCAGCCAGCCCAAGAGAGACCTGTCCCCCAACCACCTCGTGCCCCAGCCACCGTTCTTTCCCCCCTGCAGCCCCTTCAGTGTCCTTTCCACACTCCTGGTTTTTGGAACCCTGCTCTTTGGCCAGTAGTTGAGCTTCAAAAGGCAACTTGCCCCCTCTCAGGGCTACTCGTCCACCTTGAGAGAGGTGTTCAGAGGCTCAGAAAGGAGCTTGGAGGTTCTCAAGTGTGTCTTGGAGGTCCTCAAGTGTGGCTTGGAGGTTCTCAAGTGTGACTTGGAGGTCCTCGAGTGTGGCTTTGTGGAGGTACATGCTGGGGAAGGAGGCTCTTTCTTGGACCCTGGCTGTGCCAGCAACTCCCAGAGATGCTCCAGAGCGTGAGCCTGGCTCTGAAGCCCCCGTGTCCCATCAGCCCAGCAAGGTCCTTGAGTGTGGCTTGGAGGTTCTCGAGTGTGGCATGGAGGTCCTCAAGTGTGGCTTGGAGGTTCTCAAGTGTGACTTGGAGGTCCTCGAGTGTGGCTTTGTGGAGGTACATGCTGGGGAAGGAGGCTCTTTCTTGGACCCTGGCTGTGCCAGCAACTCCCAGAGATGCTCCAGAGCGTGAGCCTGGCTCTGAAGCCCCCGTGTCCCATCAGCCCAGCTCCTGCTGCTCAGGCTCTGCTGCTCACCATGGGTGACCCTCATCTGCTCGTGTGCTGCTGAGCTTCGCCATGTCAGCATCCCGTTTTATCAATTATCTGCTGGTTTTATGACTTCTCCGGGGTTTAATCATTACTGACGACTCATTTCTCAGCAAAACTGAGTTTCAGGCTTTTGTAGACTCAGACTTCTGTAGCAGAAGTTGCCTTGGTTCCCCCAGGGCCTGAACTCTCAACCTTTGTGTCTTTGCTGACCTCTCCCTGCTCGGGTTCTGGGTTTATTCCTTGATGCTTTGCTTTCTCACTGTCCAGCCATCCCCCTTCCTTGCCATGTCCACTGGTTTCCACATCCTTTTCTGGGGTTATTCCGTAGCATTTCTCCCCCAAGGGTGAGCTGGGCAGATGGGTCTCATGCATGCTGTGCTTCATCTTTCCTGGCTCTGCGACAGTCTCTCTGTAGACCTGAGCATCCCTGAGTATTCCCATCTGGACCGATTCCTCTGGGTGCATTGACATCTCCTCCCCTGGGCTTGTGTTTGCCCAGTGTGACATGGGATAAGAGGTTGGAGGAATCCCAGCAGGGATCTCAGGGCCAACAAGAGCCACGGGGGCAGCCTGGGGAGCATCGTTTGTGGACGCTGGAAATGAGCCTGAGCCGTGGTGGGATGGAGCCTCCTCTGAGCCCCGAGCCGACCCCTCCTCCTGCTAACAGGGGGCACGGGGGGATGTTGGTCTGAGAGCATCCCAAGGGGAAATCCTTTCACTGGGAGCCAGGGCTGGGGGGGCTGTGCTGGGCTGTCCTGCGCTGTGCTGGGCTCTACTGGGTGCTGTGAAACCAGAGGCTGCTGGTGTGACCAGAGAGTGGAGAGCCCCAGAAGAGGAGCTGCAACCCTCTCTGCCAGCCCCAGCACCACAGTTCACTCAAGGAGCTATTCTGTTATCAGCATTTGCTGCCTTGGGACTAATATTGTCCTTTCAGCAAGGAGAGAGGGGCCTGGCAGGCACGGAGGGTTTAAAGGGCTCCCATGATAAAGATACTATCGTCCTAAGCTCAGGAAAATTCCTAAATATTCAGCGTGTTCTTCTGAGGTGGGTCAATAAGTCCCCGTGCCGTTGCTAACAGCGCAGGGGAGGGCCCCGATAAGTTATCGTGCTCATCGGCTCCGCTGGGAGGGAAGAGGCTAGAAGGAAGGAAGGAAGCCCAGCTCTAATCTCAGAGGAATATTTAATAGCGGGAGTGTTTCAAGGCACATCCTGATATTCAGTATCTGGGGAGCACGAGGCACAGATAAAGAATGTCACCTTTGGCCACCCTGCCTGGGGCCGCTGCCGATCTCAGGGAAAAAGACTGATGCAGTTGATCTTGCACGAACAGCACCCCAGATGCTCGTCCTACCAGCAGATGGGTCTGAGGGGCTGGGGCTGCTGTGGGGCAGCTGTGGCCCTGCTCGGCACCCCCTGGTCCACGGGCCCCTTGCTGCCGGTGCTGATCCTGCACCGTTGGAAGCAATGGTGAAAACGTGCAAGACAGTGCCAAGTCCCACCGCCTGATGGGGGAAGATGGTCCCTGCAAAGGCATTTTGGGGCCAAGACTCTCCTTCCCACACCTGTGTGCCAATTAACTCCGTGAAGACAGATGAAGGGGCTAGAAAATAGAAATCACGAGCACGGAGGAGCTCATGTGCCAGTGGGACTGCCCTCTTTGCCTGGAATGTGCTGCTTGGGGGCCCAGCCTGTCCCCAGCTTTTGGGAAAAACCCTGTGCTGAGCACCCTTTGGGTGAAACCACGGCTGCCCGGTGTGTGAACACGTGTGAGCAGGCGTGGGCATCGCCGGGGGGGGCTGTGCTGGGGGGGAGCAGGTGGGGCAGGCAGGGGCCGGGTGGTTTTCATTCGTTCTAGTTTTGTGTTTAAATGGAAAAATCAAACGGCAAATTTCTCGGGGGTGCCACGAGTTTCAGTCAGGAATGTCACACTTTGTCCCAGGTGAGAGGGGATCGTTACCAGCAGCTGCTCCCTGGGGATGGATGGATGGAGGAGGGGGCGATGCCTGGGCAGGGCTCCACAGGTGACGCTGGGCTGCCTGCAGGGAGGGGGCTTGGAGGACCCTTTATAAAAGCCCTCCACAGCCCTGAGAGCCCTTTTGGTGCTGTGTGACCTGAGAGCAGAGGGAGGAGGCACTGGGAGGTGGAAGGATGGTGGAGACTTGGGGCTGAGCCACCTGAGGTGAGGTGGGATGTGTGTGGGGTCTCAGGGTGGGCAGGGGGGTGGCTGCTTCCCCTGGGAAAGGCTGAACTGCTGCTTTCTCTGTGCTTCCCTCCCTCTTCCTGGCATTTCTTGGGGTGTTGAGGGGTGGGATGGCTGCAGGCTGGGAATGGGGCGCTTGGACATCGCGTAGAGGATGAGCTGATGAAAACAAGGAGGTGTTTTCCTTTTTGTTCACCTCGCTGTCCGTCCTGGAGTTGCTCTGCTCTGTCCCAATGGTTAAGGTGTTGCATATGTATCCCTTGGGAAGAGGGTGAAGGAAGGAAAGAAAAAAAGAGAAGGTGGCCTGGAGAGTGAGGAGAGAGTTGACTAAAGCCACTGGAGATGCCCTGGCTTGCTCTTTACACCGAGCCTGCCTCCTTCAGCAGCTCGATGCAGGTCCCACATGGGGTGAATGCCTACAGTGCTCCTCTTGGCTCCCAGCACATGGCTCCCCAAGTACCAAGGGACAGATAAGGTCACTGGTGTCACTAAAATATTTGGTGCTAGGACCTGGGGTTAAAGTTGTGATGCTGCCCAGGTGAGAAGAGCTGGGAGCTCTGCAGCTGAGTGGGTTTGGGGGGACTGTGAGGGGAGGCACCTGGAGCTACTGAGTGTTGGATGGAGCTGCAGAGTCTGTGGAAGCTGCTGGGGACTGGATGCACCTGGGAGAGTTGGGTGGAGTCTGTGGGTGTGGAGTGGACCCTGCTCTGCTCCCTGGTAGGTTGGTCTCTTGGGATCATGCTCCCCCTCTGCTCTGCCCTGGTGGGGCTGCATCTGGAACACTGGGTCCAGTTCTGGGCTCCCCAGTTCAAGATCGTGAGGGAACCGCTGGAGAGAGCCCAGTGGAGGCTATGGGGGTGACAAGGGGGGTGGTGCATCTCTCTTAGATGGTGCCAGAGCACTGGAACAGGCTGCCCAGAGAGGTGGTGGAGACTCTTCTGGCGCGATGCGGTTCTGTCCAGCCTGCTCTGGGTGACCCTGCTCTGGGAGGGGGTTGGACGAGGTGATCTCCAGAGGTTCCTTCTGCCCCTGACCCATCTGTGATTCTCTGAGGTTGGAGAAGAGGCGTTGGTTGCTCCTCAGGCAGGGCCTGGGATGTCTGGAGGGGGGTGTTTGGGTCTTACCCCTCTCACACGGCTCCCTGGGTGCTGCGGGAGGGGGGCTGTGGTCTGCGATGTCACCGCGGGTGTCACCGCCGAGCTGCCCTCACTTGCCAGGGGGCCGCGGGGGGGGCCAGGGAATGGCCAGGTGCTCCCCCCGGCTGTGGGGAGAGGAGGTGGGGACCTTCCTTGTCGTGTGTGTCCCCCCCACCCGTCTGGGTGTCACCTGGTTTTCTGTTGTCAGCCGGGGTGGGCAATGTGTCACCTGCCCCTTCCAGGAGATGTTGCTCGGAGCAGTCCTGAGGTCCAGAGGAACATGTGGGGGGGTTAGGAGATGGGAGGAGGGGGCCACAAACTGGTCAAACCTACCCATGGTCATCGCCCAAGTCTGGGATGGGGCAGGTGACAGCACTGGGACCCCCCCAGTCCATGTCTGGCTCCCAGGGCAGCTGTCCCCGTTGGGCTTGCAGGGTTTGGGGAGTGACAGGAGTGTGTCTTGCACAGCCCAGGGTGCCAGGATCCGGTGATGTGTAGGGATGGAGCACGTGTCCTGTGCTCCAGGAGCGGCCTCCTGGGAGCAGGGATGTGATTTCAGCCCCGGTGGGAGAAGGGAGCCCACCCTGTGGGAAGGCACCTCAGGGGACAGTGGCTTTTCTCCTCCTCTTCACAGGCGCGGATCGAAACTCTGCCTTAAGCACAACCCCGGGCTCTAATGCCCTTGGGACATCTCTAGC